CTGGGTCCCAGCTGTCACCTGCTCTGTACCTGGGAGCAAATCTCTTATGTGTTTCCTGTGTTGGTCTCCTTCCTGGTAAAACAGGTGAAATACTCCCATACCTGTGCCTTCAGGCACAGAGAGATCTTGAAAAGCAAGGTCTGGCATGCAGCGGGTTGCGTGCTGTACACTGTCACGCTCACGAGTGGCTTAGTGCCACTCCCACAGTGGCTGCACATGGGGAGGGCTCCATGAAGGCAGCTGACGCCTTTGCCGGAACTCGATGGCTGGAACTCCGAGAAGTCCAGGTAGCGACAGTGGGAGAGGGGCACGGCCCACACCAGGACGTCCTCCCGCAGTGTCTGGGTGCTCACCAGAGAGAGCTGTGGGGTGGGTCTCTGGGCACGCCAGGTACCCGTCCCATGCCACACACTGCTAGGACTGGGTTCTTCCAGGAGATGCCCAGCCTTCTCCGCATAGGGAGCTTTTAAAGAATGACCGTGACCCTTAAAACTCCAGGGGCAGGCACTGCACTCCCTGATCCGGCCCAGAGAGGTCGCTGGTTGGTCCTGGGGCCTTGCCATGGCTCGGCAGCATGGGGTGGGGGTGAGGGTGAGGGTGGGGGCGGCATGGGCCCCCTCTGTTCCCACTTCTTCCCTTGCTCTTGCTTTGCATCGCCCCAGTGGTCTGGACACCCCACATCCACCCCTCAAGGCCCAGGAGTCTGGGAAATGGGGAGGGAGGGAGAGGCAGGCGGACACGAGGCCCTCCCGGCCCAAGCACACTCGAAGGGTGCACGACCCAGAGGAAGGGCTGGGGGCCCCCAAGTCCCTGCCGGCCGACACAGGCCTGCAGGCTTCGGGGACAGCGCAGCCACCCCAAGGAATTCACCCTGCCAGAGCTGTGAGGTCGGACAAGCATCAACACCCCAATACCTGTGTCTGCGAGGGTCCCACGCAGAACCCCCCTCCCCGCTCTCCCAAGCCAACCAGGCTGCTTCCTGGGGCTTCCCAGAGGGCGGCTGCCCCCACTTTCAACCTCCAAGGTCAGGGTTGGCCACCTGCCGTGCCAAAAGCACTTCCACCCATGGCTCTGCCGCCGCGGCCTAAGGCCAGGGAATGGCTGCGCTCAGGGACCAGAGGGCAGCCGTTCCTTATCCTACACTGAGGCCGAGAGACCTAACTGGCTGTGTATTAGCTGCAGTTGGAGGGCTTAGCGCGCACGTGGCCCAGCCTCTCCCCAGCCTGAACTCAGCCTCAGAACTGGGTGGTCGGGCAGGTGGTCCCCAAGGGCCGCCAGGGGACAGGTCAAGCTCCCACTGCCCATCCTGCCACCCCCCAGATGACTCCAAGCCTCGCCTCTGTCACTTGCCAGCACACGACCTGGGTCTGTGACCTAAAGCCCGGGAGTCTCAGTGTTCCCAGCTGGAAACTGGGGGTGACAGCACTAACTCGGCACACCACTGCACAGACGGGAGGAAGGCGCAGGGGCCAGCAGGGGTGGGTGCGGCGGGCTGTGGGGCAGGGACTCGGGCCATGGCCGACGTCTCCGATAAGTCACCCTCCAGGCTCCTCTTCTCCAAACCCCTCCATCCTGGTTCCCGTGAGCCCCTCCTCCCTGGGCTGGGAAGCCCACCTTGGTGGCAAGGACAGCGACCACAGCAAGCGGGCGTGCGTCTTTGGGAGCTGAGGGATGGAGCCAGAGGGCTGAGAATCAGGGGGGAGGGGGCATCCTCGGCCCCCCGTCTGCCGAACGAGGCCCACCCAGCTTCCTTCCCTGTGGCAGGAAGCCCCCTCGTCTATGCCAACCTGCCCAAAGGATCAGAACCCGGGTTGTGGCCACTGTGACTCCCAGACCCTCTTTTCCCTTGCGGGGCCATCCCTGTCTTGGACTGGGGCCGTGGAACTCCCCCCACCCCCACCAGCCACGTCGTAGCTGCTGTCACACATACTTGGGCTGTGCTGCTGCGTGCTGGGCAGCACGCCAGGTGCTGGAGACACCTGTGTGTGCAGTGACAGCCACACTCACAGTCCCCACAGCTAACTAACAGCTCAGCGGGGGACGCACCCCCATGGCTTCCAGCTCCTGCTCACTCCCAGGACGGGACTGGCTGTCCCTCCTGGCCAGTGGATGCACAGGGCAGCAGCAGACTGCCAGCCAGGGCCCTGGCCTGCTGACTCCACGAGGGACAGTGGATCCCACCGCAGCCTGGCTGTGTCCCCCAGCCTCCTCGGCGGGGAGCCCCACGGCAGGCGGTGCCAGGTGGGGGGGAGGGGCGGGGACTCACACAGGGAATGGTGGGCGGAGGGCAGCAGAGTGCTGTTTGGCTCACCAATCTGTTGCTGGCCTGCAGGAGAGGCTGACAGGACGGGAGGAGGCCCTCATAGCACCCTCGGGCCATAGACACAGGCACAGGGAGGGGACAAGGGTGCTGGTGGCTTGGAATCTGCACCCAGAAGCCAGGGCTTGAGGCTGGAGCAGGAGGCGGGACCAAGGGCAGGCTGTCCGCGGGAGGAAAGGCGCCATCGGGCGGACACAGGCTCTGGGGCAGCTCAGCCCCGCACGGGCCCTACACACGCGCTCTGAGCACAACCAATCTTCTAATCATCTCTCTCCTGCATGCCCCATGATGCTCTCTGCGGCTCTTCCTGGCTGGGTGGGCCTGGGCAGGTGCCCTACCCTCTCTGAGGCTCTGGCTTTTGTCGGGAAAAGCAGGGTTAGTGAGGGATCCTGTGTGTCACTGACACCCTGCCAGCACGGGGGTCGCAGAACTCAGCAGCTGCTGTGGCCTCCCCTGCACCCCTCATCCCGGCACCTCTTCCTCGTTGATACTCCCCTTGCTTTGGTCTAGGGCTGAGGGCCTGGGGTAGGATTATTTGAGGTTCTGATTCCAGAGCGCAGAGACAAGAGGATGTCTTCCAAACCACCCCCAAATCCAGGCAGAGGCAAATGAGCCTGGCCCAGGAGGTGACCTTGAAAGGGACATCAAGGGACCGAGAGGCTATGTGACAACTCCTGCCAGGTCAGAGTCTCCGTCAGGCGGTCTCCATCCGGCAAAATATGAAAAGGAAAATGCAGACGCAGACGCCTCGACCCACGGCTAACAGAGCTGGAGGCGGGAGCTGCCCACAGCTGAGGCAGGGACTCTCCCGCACTCCCCCTGCCTGAGGGCGCAGGGCAGGCGGGGAAGAGGGCGGCAGAAGGGGGAGCGAGGCGAAGAAAAACGGCCTGCGAGAGGCGGCGGCGCCTCGGCATGCTTGCCTCCCCAGCCCGGCCCATGAATCGAGGGGCGACAGCTCTCTCATCTCCGATGCCAAGAGCCAGGAGCTCCGGGCAGACGCAGGTACTACATCCGCACCTGCCAGCACTTGGAAAGCCGCAATAAAGCATCGAGTGGGGCCCGGAATGCTAAGTGCCTGCAGCTGGGACGGAGCCGCCGCGGCTCGCCCGGCGGCAATCGCAAGCTGCTCCCGGAGCGGGGCTGCGTGCTTCCTCTCGGTCCGGCCGAGGCCCGCGCGGGGCAGGGGCGGTGGCAGACCCGGGCGGGGGCGGGACAGGTGTGCGCAGTCTGGTCCCGCGCGGCCGAGGCACAGGCAGGGAGCTCCTGGAAGAAGCCCAAAGGGCCGGTGATTTAGAGAGGCCGGCAGAGAGCTGGGACGCTTGAGTCACTGGTACATAAAAGCAGGTCATAAAACACCCGGCTATGCCAACGCCTGCACAACGCGTTGCACCAAGCTGCAGGCGGCTGGGGGTGTGGGCCCCGAGCCCCAGACCACCACCAGGACACCGTGTGTGCCAGGCCCTGTGCTAAGTGCTCGGAGCACATGTTAATGTGCTTAATTGGGTCGCAGGGGTCACAGACCTGCAAGGCCCAGGCAGAGACTCCCAGGCGGAGGGGGCCATCTGGAGCCGCACCCCACATGTGGGCCCAGCATCCCACAGGCACCTGAACCTGCCCCGTCTGCCTCTGCGCAGCCTTTGTCTTCCCCACAGCCGCCGTGTGCTCCCCCTGCACCCCCATCTCCCACACCTACAGAACCGGCCCTGTCACTGTTCACCTCTCCGTTTTCATTTGACTTGAAAAGCAGAAAGACACAGAGAGGCACGCCTCTTCCGTCTGCCGACTCGCTCCCCAGATTGCTGCAATGGCCGCGGTGGGGCCAGGCTGAAGTCAGGAATCCAGGAGTCCCATGGAGGTGGCCTGGACCTGAGTACTCAAGCCAACACCTGCTGCCTCCCAGGAGCTCAGCAGGACGCTAACCAGGAACAGAGGGGACTTGAACCCAGGCCCTCTGCCACAGGAGGTACCATCCCAAGTGGCACCTCAGCTGCTGCACCATGTGCCAGCCAGAACCGCTCATTTCCGTGGGCACTTAGTTGCCTGGGCTAAAACTATAAAGACTACATTTCCCAGCCTCCATTGCAGCCAGCTTGGTCACGTGACTGAATTCTGACCAATGAAAGTGAAAGCAGTATGTTACTTCCAGGAAGTGTTCTTACAAGCAACAGCCACTCTCCTACCCCTTCCTTTTCCTCTTCCGTCTACTGATGCAATGGCTGGAGCTCCAGAGGCCGTTCTGCACTGTGAAGAGACCGTGGGCATGAAGGCTACACACGGTGCAGCAGGTGGGCTCCTGACAACAGAGACCATCGCCCAGCCTGGGGTTGGCCCCTCCAGCCTTGAATGTGAAAGAAAAAAGACCCTCAACCGTGCTGTAGCCACTGCTCTGCTGGCGATGTCTGTAACTCATGGCTGAACCTAACGCTGTCGGATCCATGCCTGGAGGCCTCCGGGGGTTCAGCAGACCATGCGGCATAAAGTCACCATTTGCATCTCCCCCCCAGCTCACACAGGCCCCTGAAGGCTGGCACTGAGCCTCGCCCACTCCCACCTCCCTCGGCCGCCTCCGGCAGAACCAGACGCCTCGCGACTGTGCTGTGGCCTGCACGGAACCTGTCCGGCGCGGCGCCACACCGCGTCCTAACCGCAACTTCCCCGCCAGGGAGCAACACGACCTTACCAGGATGTCCGAGTCCTCGGGGTCCAGCCTGCTGGCGGAGCCGGAGCAGTTGTGGAGTTTGAACACCCAGTACTCCTTGGCAGTGACAAAGAAGTTCCAGGGCAGCATGCTGCCCACGCCCAGGCTGAAGAAGATGATGTAGGTGCCGTGGAAACGGTCCTCGGGCCTGGGCAGCCCAGGGGCCGGGTGGTCCAGCAGCCTCTCCAGCACGGCCTCCCGGTCAGTGCAGACAGAGCTGCTCCTGGTTCTGTAGGTGGAGTTGCAGCTGTGATGAAAGTCATCTTCGGTGACGACGGCCACTGTGGGGAGGAGAGGGGGGACAGGCTAGGCGGGCTGGGCCCGGCTGGCCCTGCACCTGTCCTGGAAAGGGACTGGACCCCCCCCCCCCCAATCCCGGCTTCTACAGGGCTGCCCTAGCCTAGTGGGGAAGCTCCAGGTGTAAGCATCAATGCGACTTGGAGGCCATGATGTGAGAACCGTCAGTGACCCTGGAGGCCCCCGGCCACTCGAGGGTGGCACAGGTGGCACCCAAGTGGGGGGGTTGAGGGGGCAGGCTGGGTGGAAAACTGTGGCATGGAGCAGCCTAGGGCAACCAACCCAGAAAGACAGGCCTGAAGGTGGTCCAGGGAGGCAGGAATGAAGACCCCCGATGGGTGAAGAAGGATCTAGAACGCCCTTGGGAGTCGGTGAGGCAGGGCGAAGGGGCAGGGCAGCTCGTGGCATGCTGCCATTGTGTGCTGGGGTGGGGTGGGGGGTGGTAGACGAATCACTACGTGTGTAGCGGGACGGGCAGCAGGGCCTTTCCTGCAGACACACTTGTGCCTCCGGAATCTGGGGCTGTGTGAACCCACAGGAATTCAGGAATAAAGCTTAAAATTATAAATAAAATCGGAGTGCCTGGGTTTGAGTCGTGGCCACGCCCAATTCCAGCTTCCCCGTAATGGAGACCCTGGGGGGCAGCAGGTGATGGCTCAAGTCCTCGGGCCCCTGGCGCCCAGGCGGGAGACCTGGATGGAGCTCCATTTAGGGAGCGAACCAGTGGGTGGAAGATCTCTTTCCACCTGTTTTTCTTTCTGCCTTTCAAATTATTGATTTAAAAGTTTTAAAAATTATCAATAAAGGCATTCAAAGGAAATAGTTCAAAAAAGCATGCATAGGGTGTCTCGAGCTGCCCCAGGAGCCAGTGTGCGGCAGCTCCTCCCGTCTGCATGGAAACAGGTCTACAGAGTGGAAGGTCGCGGCCCTAAGTGACCACACATCGCAGCCCAGCGGGGGACGGCCACTCACAAACCGCGGCAGCACCTCGCAGATGGAAGATTCTGGGCTGCCAGGGCCTTTTGCCCGCCAGCCCCCCGCCCCACTGCTGAGCCTCAGGTCCCCGTGTGTAGACCCAAGGGAGCCTTTTCTGCGATGGCTGCACAAATGCAACCGGTGCTTGCCGGTCCCGAGCCGGTGCGGGCACCTTCCCAACACCATGGGCTTGTCACCCTGCTGGCGCAGGTGCCAGGGAGCCTGCTGACCCCTGTGCTCTGCTCAGCACCCAGGACGGGGGGCAGTGGGACAGGTGGGAAGTCTGCCCGCGCTGCCGAGGGCGGGTCACTCTGGGGTCCCCTGGGCAGCAGCTGCTTTACCCAGTGCCTCAGCCCGAGGGAGGCTGGCGCACACTGCACACAGGGGGCTGAGCCTTGCTTGGGGTCCCCAGCAGGGAGGAGCGAGGCCTTTCCCCCTGGTGGGATGGGCACCCCCTTCTGGGGGTGCGGCAGCTCAGGAGAACCACGCAGCACCCCTTGGCATGTGGCAGACCGGACGGAAATCATCACCCCCATTTTTCTGATGGGAAGACCGAGGCCTCGAGGGCACCTGCTTTGTCCCACATCCAGACAGGAAGAATTCCCAGTTGCTAAAACTGAAGCCTACAGTCACGCACGCCCAGTCTGGGCCCCTGAGCCCCTCACCGGCCTGAGTGAGCCCACCGGCCGGATGTTCTCCGTGGGGGCAGGCAACCCCGTGTCCGCCTGGGCGCCCAGTCAGTAGGGCTATTTTAGACTCTCCAGGCTGAGCCCAGGCCTCCAGCCTCGCTGCCCGGGGAGCCCAGCATCAAGGAACTTCCAAGTGCACAGGACAGCAGGGCCCTGGCTGCCGCCAGATGTCCCAGCTGCGGGGGGCTGGGGGGCGCCGGTGCGTGCTGGGTCGCTGGCTCCCCTTCCCGGCTCCTGGGTCTATTCGTTAGGGACCAGTCAGCCTTGACCAAGCTGCTGAAGGAGCCAGGAATTTTCTCTAACCCAGGTCAAGGCCAGGGCACTGGAGTGAGCAGTCTTATTACTCTTGATAAAAGCTCGCCCCGGCTTTGGATTAAAAAGAGAAAGCAAAAAAGAAAGCTAAGGCTTCGGCCAACCTCCCCGGTTGGGCAGCAGGCAGAGTCCACCTGCTGGAGCTGCCCGGGGTGGCCCCTGCCCGGAGCGGCAGCAGCCCCAGCGGTCCGAGGTTGCCCACCATGGTCGGGGCCGGGAGGCCCCGCTGCCGGCTCCAGGGAGGCTCCCGACCCTGACCCAGTCCATCGCCCATCCAGGCCGGGGTTCTGCCCGGAGCCAGGAAGCGAGGCCGCGGGAGCGCGCGAACCAGGCTGGCCGGGAGCCCAAGGGTCCGCGCCGCGTCCGACTTCCGGCCCCACTTACTGTCGCCGCCGCGCCGCCGCCGCTGCCGCCTCCCGGCCGCACGACCACTGCGACTCGGGCTCGGAGGGCCGCGGGCTGCAAGCCGGCCCTCGCCGCTCCCCGGCCCCGCCCCGCCCGCCCGCCGGCGCCGCGCTTCCCGGATTGCAGACTCGCTCCGGGCCCCGTGCTCTCCCGGCGCCCGCGCGCCCCCGCCTGGCGGTCTGCGCCCCCTACACCCGCAGGGACTGAGGCGCGGGAGGGCGCCTGGGGCCTGGGCTCCCCTCCGCTGTTGCATCCCCCTCCTGCCCTTGGCAGCCCACCGTGGTCTGCGCCCCGCCGGCAGCTCCCTCCGCAGTCCGGGGCCCCAGGACGCTCGCCTCGCCCTCAGCCCCCTGGAGAAGGTGCAGCCCACAGTCCCTGCGTGATCGCGGGGCTCCGTGTGAACCTGGCTTCCTGGCTGGGCGACTTTTCAGGAGAGCCGGAACCTGGCCCGTGCCATCCCTGGCGCCGGGACCCCAGGCTGGGCAGGTAGCCCGGCAGGTGTGCTGTCAGGAAGGGAGTGGAACCTGCGTGACCCTGGCCCAGGGCAGCCCTGACCTCAGAGCAGGCATCTGCACCACTCAGGGCCAGAGGCTCCGGGACCTTCCACAGCAGGTCCTGGCAGGGGCTGCCGGCACTCACAGGTGCCACAGTGCCCCCGCAGTGCGGACAGGTCTGGGGGCAGGCCACTCCCTGCCCTGGGCCCCCCAGGCACTAGCTATCAGCTAGATACCAGCTGGGGGAAGCCCCGCCTGTGGCTCTGACCCCACCGACGACCTGGAGCCAGTCTCATGTCCTTGGGCACCCGGCAAGGAGGCAATAAAGCAGGTCCCCTGACAGCTCATCAGAGCACAGGGACC